AACACACTGCCATGTGTGTACCTATGCAACTGTCTTGCATGTTCTGCACATGTACCCCAAAACTTAAAATGCAATAAAAAATTAAAAAAAATAAAAATGAAAAAAAGAAAATCCTTCAGGCTAAAAGGAAATTATAACAAATGGAAACTCAGATTATGGGACAGAATAAAGAGTACTGGAAATGGTAAATATGGAGTATATAGAAGACTCTCTTAATTGTTTTCTTAATTTAATAAGTATAAACTATATGAATATAATTTGTATGGTTAGGTAGATAACATACACAGATATATTATATATATGACAATAACAGCACAGAGGCGAGGAGAAAAAAAATAAAGCTGTGTTGGATCAAAGCTGCTATATTTTACCAGAATTATGTGAAGTAGAAGTAGATTGTAATAAGAAGATGAATTATGATTCATTCTCTGCATCAAGCACTATAAATAAATAGCAATAGAAGCTAAACAATCAGGGGAATTAAAATATATACTTAAAAATACATCTCAACACAAAAGAAGACAGCAATTGGCAGATGCAAATTAAATAATATTTAAAAACTGCATTAAATGTAAATGGACTAAAAGTTCCAATCAAAAGGTATAGATGGTCAGTCTGAATAAAAAGTCAAGATCCAACCAATATGCAATCAATGAAACTTTCAAATCCAGAAATACAAACTGGTTTTGAAGGACAGAAAAAGGTAAGTCATGGAAACAGGAATCATATGAAATCAATCAGACAAAGCAGATTTTAAGACAAGGAATGTTCCTAGAGACAAAGAGAACTACTTCACAAAAAGGGTGAATATAGGAATATGTAAAAATTTTAAGTGTACAGGGAACTTAAATCCTTAAAATACAGAAAGTAGAAACTGACAGAACTAAAAGAAAAAAACTGTTTCTGAGAGGCAGTTATTGAAATCTCCAAAGCATATTGTTGAAGACAGAACTTGAAAGAAAACCACTGAGGATATAGAAGATTTGACAACAATACCACCAACTTGACCTGACGATTAATTAAGCATATGAAACTTCCCAACAGCAGAGGACATGTTCTTTTCAAGCATATGTGGTTAACTCTCTCCAGCATGGAGAACATGCTTGACCAGGATCCAGCAATCTTGCTCTGAACAGTCAAGATGGTAAGTATTTACACTTAGGAGCCAGATCTGTGACAACTATGCAATTCTGTCATTCTGGTGTAAAAGAAGGCAAAAGCAGTATGTTTATGAGTGGCCAAGTCTGTGTTCCAGTGTAACTTTATTTACTAAAGCAGGTAACCTACATATGGGCCATACTTCACAGACTTCTTTGCTAGACCGTAAAACAAGTCTAAATACTAAAAAGACAAATTATACAAAGCATGGTCTTCAACAATAGAATTAGAAATTAACAAAAAAAAGTATTCTAAGAAAACCCCAAATATTCATTTGGGCTAAAACCACTTTTCAGAGTAGTTAGAACTGTAATTATTTCCACTTTCAATTAGTAATAATGAAACTTTAAATAAATGTCCCTATCTATTATAATTCTGTAGCCAAAACATTTTCTCTATCTTACTTATAAGAAAACTGAATGAGATTCACAAGTGGCAATTTGTCAAGAGTCAGAGAGTATTTTATACCAGAACTCAAACACAAGTTTTCTAATTTTCAAATACTGAAGCTGTTTCCACTGTAAACCTAATTTACTTAAATATGTTGTTTTTTAAAAGAAAACAAAAGAAAAACTCACTAGGTAACCTCCTAGTTCCTGGGTGAGAATGTTTTATCATTCCATCCTTCTGTTAATATAATCCTTCAAAGCAGTGATATCCATGATTTCTTCTACTAGATACCATTTAACCCTGTATAATCGACATATAAAAGAACAGCTGCTCCATATTATATTCTACAAAAATTTCTGTTGAATTAACAAAACAGTATCATTCCACTTAAAAAAAAAGATGTAATGAACAGGCTAATCCTAAAACTTACGAAAATAACAAGAGGCCCCATACAGCCAAAGCAATCTTGAAAAATAAGAAAAAAATTGAAGAATGTATGCTTTTGGATTTCAAAACTCATTACAAAGCCACAGAAACCAAAACTGTGTGCTACTGGCATAAAGACACAACATACAGAGGGCAATGGAATAAAATTAAAGGTCCACAAATAAACCCATACATTTACAATCAATTGATTTCTGACAGGAGAGCTAAGACCATTCAACGAAGAAGAGTATTTTTTTTTAACAGTGCTAAGACAAGTGGATATCCACATGCAAAAAATGAAGTTAAAACTCCTCTCTCACACCATATACAAAAATACTTCAAATGGATCAAAAACCTAGTGGAGGAACTTGAAGTATAAAATCTTTAGAAGGAAACAGGTGTAAATCTTCATGACCTTCAATTAGGCAACAGTTCCTTAAATATGACACTAAAAGCACAAGCAACAACAACAAAAATGAAGACTCCATAAAAATTTAAAATTTGTGCCAAGGGCACTATCCACAGTGTGAAAGGCAATCCACAAATAATGCACAAAAGTAAATTCAAATGTTTCACTACCAAAAGAATCTACTAAACACAAAAAAAGACTCATGGAGAAATGAGAGACAAAAAAAGCTATAAGGCAAATAGAAAACAGCACAACCACAGAAATTAGTCCCTTTTTATCAGTAATTACTTCAAATGTGTGTTAAACTCTCCAAAAACAGATTGGCAGGAAGAATAAACACATGATCCAACTACATATTGTTATATAAGAGATACACTTTAAATCCAAAGACAAAGAGACTGAAAGCAAAATGACAGAAAGTTATTCCATGCAAACAGTAACCAAAAGAGAGCAGGGGTGGCTATACCAGTATCAGAAAAGACAGACTTTAAACAATTCGAAAGCAAAAAAAGGGTGGTGGCTCCCATCTGTAATTCCAACACTTTGGGAGGCCGAGGAGGGAGGACTGCTTGAGCCTAGGAGTGCTGAGACCAGCTTGGGCAACATGGTAAAATCTCATCTCTACAAAATTACAAAAGAAAAAACAGACTTTGCATTTTTTTTTTTAAAAAAGGTTACAAAACAGAAAGAACTCTTATATGGCAATAAGAGGTTCAATACAGCAAGAAGGTATAGCAATTACAAACATTTATGTACCTAGTAATAGACCATCAAAATAAAGGAGAAAAAAAACTTGACAGAATTGAAGAAATGAAAAGTTCTATAGTAATAGCTGGTGACATCAATACTCTGTTCTCAGTAATGGACAGAACAACCAGACAGGAGATAATATAGAACTCAACACAATAAACCAACTAGGTCTAAAAGATATATACAAAACACTTTTCTGAATAACAACAGCATACACAATTCTTCTCAAGTACACATGGAACATTTTCCAAGACACACAATATGTTGGGCCACAAATTAAAGCCAAAAATTAAGTTTCAACAGATTTAAAATATAGATAGTATACAAAGTATCTTCTCCAACCACAACAGGATGAAATCAGAAATCATTAACAGAAGGAAAACTGAGAAAAAAGTTTGTGGAAATTAAACAAGATACCTTACCAATAGATTAAAAAAGAAATCAAGAAAAATGAGAAAATACTTACAGATGAATGAAAACAAAACCACACGTATCAGAACTTGGAAGACACAGTGAAAGTAGTACCAAGGGAAAAATTTATAGCTACAAATGCCTCCATTCAAAAACAAAACAAAAAAAATCTCAAATCAAAAACCTGACTTCACACACTAAGTTGCGAACCAAAAAAAGAACAAACTAAACCCAAAGCTTCCAGAAAGACAAAACTGAATAAATAATAAAGACCAAAACAGAGATAAAAGAGTGCTCACTTTAGCAGCATATACACTAAAAGAGAGAAAAGAAAAAGAACACAGGAAAAAAAAAAAAAATCAATGAAACCAAAAGTTGGTTCTTCAAAAAGATCAACACAATTGACTAACTTTGGCTAGGTTAAGAAAAAAAGAGAGAAGACTCAAATCACTAAAATCAGAAAGTGGGGACATTACTACTTGATTCCATAGGAGATACGAAGGATTTTAAGAGTATTATCAAGTCTTGTATGCTAACAAATTGAATAGCTTACATGAACAAATACCTATTAATAGAAGCACAAAAACCTACCAAGACTAAGTCACAATGAAGTAGAGAATCTGCAGAGACTTATAACTTGCAAGGACACTAAATCAGCAATCAAAAATCTCCCAACGAAGAGAAGTCCTAGTCCTGATGGTTTCACTGGTGAATTCTACTAAAATGTTTAAAGAACTGAAGCAACACTAATCCTCTAACTTTTCCAAAAATTGAAGAGAACATTTCCTAACTCATTATATGATGCCAGCATTACCCTGATCCCAAAGCCAGACAGATGCAAGTACAGAATATTATCAACCAGTATCCTCTTATGAACATGGATGCATAAATCCTTAGGAAAATACTAGCAAACCAAATTCAGCAGCATATGATAAAGATTATATACCATGACCAACTGGGACTTATTCATGAATTTAATATTCCCAAAATTCAAAAATGCAAAAATGGTAGTTAGCTCTGGGTGATTTTCCCTTTATATTTTTCTGTTGTCTAAATGTCTACAAAATATTTTATTTTAAAAATGTATTATCAAGTATTTGAAACATATACAAGTGCAGAGAATATTAAAATAGTTATGAGCCTAGCTATTCAGACTTCAAATTTAAAAATAATACATTTGCTTCAGGATACTTCCTTTAAAACAATTTTTGGCCAACATAGTTGAAGCTCCCTTAGTACTGCCCACCTCAGTATCACCCACCCACTCTCAGGAAAACCCATTATCACAAAGCTGGTGTACATGAAGCTTATCTATCACATTTTTATACTTTCATTATAAACTATTAACAAACACAGTATGGTTTGTACTGCTTAAAAATTTACATCAAGGATTTCTCATACTGCACATATTTTATCACAACTTATTTTTCTTTCTTTTTTTTTTTTTTTGCCAAAGTCATCTCCAAAAAAGTTTATTAGCATGATTAAAAACATTTTCTTGAATAGTAACAAAGAATTTCTAAGCATGAAAGAATATCAGTGGCTAAACCTTAAAACCAGTATTTGGAACTGAATGGACAGCTTTATTGCCAGTCTTCATTTTATTAAAAACAATCCATTGATTGGCTCCATGAAGTCGTGACTATTGCTTTGTCTGGGAATGAGTCCCCACTGCAATTAAGTATAAAAAATATCTTCCATCATAATTGGAGTGTAACCTGCATTAGAGAGTGGCTCTGAGTAAAGAGTTGATAAAAATTCAAAAAGAGTTGGGGTTTTCTCTTTTAAAAACATTCCTTTACACACTACAAAGAAATAATTAGTATTTTGGCTTTTAAAATTCCTACATGATATTTAGAATGGCAGTCCCCAAGGGTCCTCCCTTCACATAATCGTGAATGCAGACCCCCTTCCAAGGGCACATTCCAGAGGGTGCGGACTCTGAAGACTTCGGCCTCCCCGTGTTTATACTGGTTTGAGAACAAAGACAGCGTGCTCCAGAACGTAGTAGTCATTATACATGTCACCTTCACACAGGTATGGCAGTCTGGTGAAAGCTTCAATAACGAAACCGGCTTTTCTGAAAACTTCAGGCAGACTATTCACTTGTTCTTCCCAGTTCTGTCCCTTGATTTCCAAAATTTCTGATGGTTTCTCCCACTTGCCACCTACGTTTTCCACATAGGGATGAAAGGGGAGGACCAGGGCAAGGATGACCCTGCCTCTAGTTGGCTCCAAGACACTTCTGATATCCTTTAACAAAGTCAGGGGCTGATCACAGCGGTCCAGCAAGTTCAGGGAGCTAATGACATCCTACCGGAACCCTGTATTCTGCCATTCATTTATACCAAGCACTCTGAATTTTTTCGTCTGAAGCTGCCATATCATAGTTTCAGAAAGCTCAGTGGCATAGATTTCTTCAAAATGAGGGCTCATGATTTTTGTGACTTCTCCATCTCCAGCACCTAAATCAAGAAGTCTGTGGGTTTTCCAGTCTGGATTAATTTTAAGCAGTCTCTGAAACTGATCTGGTGAAAACACAAACATTGAGCCTCTTCCTAGCAACCCATTGATAGATGTTCTAGACATAAACAGGCTAAAAACAGATGACACAAAAGAATGATATAATTGGATAAATAGCCAGCCAGATTTCTCAATGCTGTTGTTTAAGAAGATCTGTGTTCCTTGATCAAGGTAACTCTGAACAAAGACAGCCTGGAGTGATTCGCATAATTTCTCTCTGTTGCACACATACCACTGGTGGTTCTCCTTGCCGCCGCCAGCCCGCCCGGGCCGCTCGTCATGTTCACGTACAGGGAGCAGGTGAGCGGGCTCCGCAGCGTCCACATCCTCCGCGCCAGCCACACGGACACCAGGCTCAGGCACAGCCAGCCCACCGGCAGTCTCATTGGGAGGCGCAGCCGCCACCGCCCGGGCTCGAGCCATCGTGCCCGACTTGCCCATCCAGCCCTCTCCACAACTTATTTTTCTATTAAGCATTATATTATCAGGATCTATCCACATATACATGTATTACTTTTATAATTTAAAATATTATATATTGTTTATTAAAAGGCATTCAACAGAGATTTTAAGTGTTTTTTTTTCTCAGCTGTATACGATAAACAAAGAGTTTTTAAAAAACACTTTTTGATATGTACAACAGCACTGGCAACATCCTACTGCTTGGCATCATCTTCATTCCCACGGGTATTTTTCTTGCTTCCCTTTTAAACTCAAGATCAAGACACTGTCTATACTGACCACACTGCAACAATCTCCTCAGGAATTCCATGCTAGAGCAAAAAACTCATTAGCCAAGTAGTTCTGAACAACGTAAAATAATTATTAAAGAGAAAAATCATGCTGCCATTCACCTAGCTACCTAAAAATATACTTAATAAAATATACAAAAACATATTGACACACGAATTTTGATAATTTCTGTCACTGGAAAATTATAAGCTAAAGCTAAAATAACAAATACATAAACAATCGCAAGCGTTAAATTGAACCCAAGATTAAGTAGCATCATATCTTATAGGTAGGGAAATAAACATTAAGTTTAAATAGCCTGGCAGCAGCAAAATAAATAATGCTAGTTTCAGAAACAATTTAAAATTCCATCAAACTGTGCTTGTGCTTCAACATTCATGGGTAACTATTTCTTACCTATCTCCCTAAAACAAAGAAACAAAAATATCAACAGACTGTTTTATGATAGCCCTTCCTTTGGGGTTCTGACTTATTTAAAAATGACTGGTAAATCAGCCATAACAGATCTGTTGTGAAAAATCACAATTTATCTACATATTAATCTAGTTATACGTAATTGACAGGTGCCTGTATTTTCCATTATTACATTTATTATGAACAGTAACACAGATCTCTGTACACAACTCTATAATTTGTAAATGACAAATCTGCCTACAATCTAAAGTGTTTCAGGAGAAAGGTCTTGAGTATTAATGGTAGCAAAACATTAAATGTTACTTACCCACAAATAGTATGTGAACTGAAGTGCAAAAATAGCAATGCCTTCATTATCAAAGGATCCAGCTACTGACCGAGATATGTAGCCTGGTACAATAGCAATAAAACAAGCAGCTAAAAGTCCTGCTCCTTGGTTCCAAAGTTCTCTGGTAAGCAGGAAAGTAGATATAGATGTAAGGCCGCTAAAAGTTGGTGCAAGGAACACACACACATCTCTTATGTGAACTGTTATATTTAATGTATTTAAAATCCAATGGATAAGGCCAGCTGTTATCATCAACCCTGGGTAAACCTAGGAAGAAAAAAATGAAAAATTACATATAAAATGAGATACACAAAAATATTAATGTCTGCACTCTTCTTTATTATTACGTTTTGTTTACCATAAGTTTGAAAGCAACATCTCAAAACAATTTGCCTTCTTTATAAACTACAAAAACAAACAAAAAAACAAAACCTCCCATACCTTTTTGTGTTGCATACGAGGAACTAGCTCATATATGGAGGAATAAATAAAAAGATCAGAGAGAATATGAACCAAGAATGATTAAAATTGAAAATGTTTAACAATGTTAAACTGTAGGTAACTTTCTTACTGATTCCACTAACTTTTTTTTTTTTTTTAATCAAAACAGGGTCTTAGTCTAGCTCATTCTTCAGTTTGGAGTCCTAACACACTCCAATTTTGCCCATACTTGTGCTTACAAAAGAAAATGAGAAAAGAAAGATAAAGAAAAATCATGCACAAAATTATTTAAGTTGTATTTATATAAAATGTCCCCTCCTTTCAAGCCCTAGATTTGCAAAGTAAGCAAATAGCTAGGAAAAGAAGAAACAGGCAGTTGGTGAATTCAGAGGTAATATTTTGGAACTTCTGAAAAGTTAAAATATTTTATACCACTTAAAGTACTTAGGGATAAAAGGGAAATAATAAACTAGAAGAGGCCAGTTAACAGCTATCCTCATCCTCACTCTAAAAGAGGAACATCAAACATTAAAAGGATTCAAAGAACAGTAAACAGGACATTTTTTTCTGAGTTATTATTCTGTGACTAAAACATGGATTTACATCTGCTTCCTTAGGTAAGTCCTATAAGATTCTTTATTTACTCCATAACAGAAATTACAAAGGTTATAAATTTCCTTTCCTGGCTCTACAATTTGTAACTGCAACCTCTTTCCCGGCACTCCCGTCTTTACCTCTCTTGCTTTTTCTCCACAGCACTTACCATCAATTGACATACTGTTTATTTTACTTACTTACTGTCTATTAACTGCCTACGCTCATAAGAACATAAGCTCCAGAACAGGAATTTTTTCTCCAGCATCCAGAAAAATAACTGGCAGAAAGTGGATGCTCATGCATGAAAAAAGAAAAGGGGAGGGGTAGAAAGAAAGTATGGTAATTTATCCACATTCTCAACAGATAAAAATTTTGTCCCACTTCAGATTCAATACTAGGTACCAGTGTGTGATTTTGTCAGCAATATTGAAAAACGGAAGAAAATTTGAAAATGTTTTTCAAGGTAAGTCAATATATCCATATAATACGGTAGACTGAACTGACACACACAAAACAGCCAATTTTCATAGAAGCACTAAATGAAAGAACCAAAACTAAACAAACAAATAAAACCCTAACAAGAAACAAAGCATGATCAAGCTCAAGATAGAGAATTCTCCAGATGCCAAAAATGAAGAGGGAATTCACAGTAGGTACTGGTGTCATGGGAGACCACAATAGAGAAGGAAAAAGCCAAACAAACCAGGGCCTTAAGGAATGAAAATGGGGGCGAGGGTTTTCACCCAACACAGGGATCAAAGTGAAGACCTAATTACCAGCACAAAGTCAGGACATGCTTATGAAACTAGACAAATTCTATTCATCCATCAAGGAACTCTGCCTGCCTTCCAATGCTCAGAGCAAAAACAAAGTCCAAAAGGAGAATATGAAACTCATTCAGATGTGTGAATGTGGGTTCTACATTTATAATAACCTTCAGTGTTAAGAACCCTTGAACTAAGAAAAACTGTCCTAAAACCAGTGAAACCCATAAAGGGCTCCAGGAAAGGCAAATGAGAAAGATAATTACAGGGGTGATCCCAAATCTCAGGACATCAGGACTCTCAGAGACAACAGGCTTCCATTGAGGACAAATTTAAGATAAAGTTATAAACCACACACAAAAAAACTATAGTTATCAAATGTAATACAATAGGGTATATAAGATTAGCACCACAAGAAATGCAGGTAATAGCTATCTACAACATGCACTACCCATTTAATACTTCTCTAATTCACAACGCAGAACATGATAACCACTATTGTGCCTTCATCTCTATTTATGCCTTTATCTCTATTTACATCAAGGATAAGATGCCCAGACTAGAAGCACAACACCTTACTACCATGGAGAACATGTTCTTTCTAAACACAAAGGGAACTTTAATAAAAATCTGGATATCCTAAATATCCTAAATCACAAGTCAAGTCTCAATAAATTTTAAAGGATTGAAATTACATAGAAGTTGTGCTCTAAACACAATATAATTGAAGTATAAAGACAAAATATAACTAACTGGGTAATCCCCTTGTGTTTGAAATTAAAAATAATTCTAAATAATCCATGAGTCGAGGAATTATAATAAAAATTAAGATACATTTTGATTGAAATGATAATGAAAATAACACACATCAGAACTTATGAAATGCAATTAGTACAGTGGTTACTGTGTAGTTTCTAGGCTTAAAATGCATCTCTTAATAATGAAGAAAAGTTGAAAATTACTGAGAAAGTATCTCAAGAAGTCAGAAAAAGAACATGAAAATAAACTCACCAGAGTAAAAGAAAATTAAAATTTAAAAAGACACAAAACAAGCATATACTAGAAGTAATCAACAGAGTCAGAAGTTTCTATGGGTTAAGAAAAACCTTAACAAAATGAATAATTCTGGCAAAATTGATTTAAAAAAAACAAACATATTTCTCCAATACAAAACAGCATTGCCTTGTCTTTCACCTTTTCTTCAAAATTCTCATGTCCCAAATCCTTATGTCATCTTTCTAGATATCAAAATTCTCCTTATGTCCTAAATCCTAAAAATATTTGCCCTTATGTCATCTTTCTAGATATCAGAAGTTTGCATGAACTATAATCAATAGTCAATTACCTGGAATAATTTGGAAATATTCAGGGCCTGAAAAATTCTAATTGTCTGATTATTCTAGATATATAATTATCATGATTATTCGAAGTTTCTATCTCCTTCCAAACTCTTTTTTCAATTAAATTGCTATAAAAGCAAACACACAAATAACCTGAACTTCATTCACATGCACTGTGATAGTAGATCCCCACCCAGCCTCCACCACTTGTCAAAAAGAATGACAAGTGTGAGATAACCCAAAAACAGGTTGGGGGTTAAGGGGAGGAGGTTTCAAGGAGAAAGCAAATTGAATACTGGATAATAAGCCACAGAAAAATCTGTTAACTATATAAAGCTTTCAAGAATCCCCACCACCTTAGCAATTAATGATTTACTCAAATAACAATAAATGTTATAATTAACATAAAGAACTACTAATATACTTACAGTACCACCTACTATTCTTCCTAGGGGATACCATGCTCTTTCATCAAACCAATTTAAAAATTCATAGAACCCATGAGATGCAAGATGATGTGTTGATCTATAGTTAAACCTAGAGAAAAGAGAAAAAATGAAATGTTATAAAACTGCTTAATAGAAACAGCTCCTTCATATTAAACTATGTGGTTATATATCTTTCAGACCAATTTTTCTCAAACTTGAATAACATAATCTGAAAATATCAGAAGTATACGCTTATACCTCTAATATAAATAAAAATACCCCCAACCTCGAACCCATACCTACAAAACTAGTAATGCCAAAAATAACATTTAGCATTGCTTGGGGTCTAGGTGGTGGAGGGCAATAAAGAAGTTCATGAATCTCAAAAAATTAAGAACTGCTGACAGAAGATAACATCAAAATGG